ACCAGATTACACAAAGTTATATAGTATAAATATGTGAAGTACACCTGCAGTATGGAAACAGTACAACAAAATGGCCGTTTTACACTTTTTTCTAGTAAATTCCTCTATATATATTCTATTCTCTATGATTAAAGGTCTGTGTATAAAAAATTTTCACTTTATTTTAAATTTCTTATTTTTTTCTAGTTTCAGTTTTTCAAAAAAAAAAATTTTTTTTTTTTTTTTCTATTTTCTAATCCTTAAATTCTTACAACTTTACAACATGGTGTAAACCTCAGACTTTTAATCGCACAAAATAAATTGTTTAAAATATCAATGGTCAAAGATCATTTTGCAAATATAAGGATTAGAAAATTTGAGTTCAAAGCCATAAATAATTTCCAAATTTGTTTATTTTTGCAGTACGTTACCTGGGCCGATCCTATACTGAAGAAAGCAAGTAAACAAACAAACAAGAATTCTGACACCAATAAAGCTAATAAATGGACATCACAGGTGGTTTTTTATGAAGTTTAAAACAGAAAATAGTTTGACAGCTACACGTTACACCAAAGTAAATTATATGTAATATATTTGCATAATTCTGCGTAAAATCAAAACTAGAGGAACTACGAGGTCTCAAAGTCCTACCATTGGTTTAATTTTGTGACCTTCAAGTTTGTCTAGGTTTTCTATCCCACACAAATATGAGAAGAACAATTTTTTTCTGCTCCACAGCTCTTTAATAAGTACTCTCCACCAAAATCCTTAATTTCTTCGTTCAATTTACTACAGATCACTTCGTTACACACCGAACTCTTAGTTTAGGGTTTAAGAGGAGTTGTAATTGAAAACTTGTTTGCTTTCAAATTTACGTAAAATTTAGTTTAATTTGACGTAAAGAAGGGTACTCATCAGTTATCCTTCACATTAAGAGCGTAATTTAGCGCAAAAAGTTTACAATTTCGAAGTAAGTTTAATCAAGAAATATATAGACCAGGAACCGCCATATATGATGCGTCAAATCTGTGTACTGCAGTGGGAGGAGATCAAAACAAAGAATTCAGGGGCAACGCATCATTTTTGACTTTTGAGGGAAAAGGTCCCAAGGGTTGGAATAAGAATATATTGCTATTGTATTTTCCATATTCAAAAGAAAGCCAAAAATCATAAGTATTCGCTCTTACTTGATAAATTAACTAGTTTTTTTTTGTTGGACTGTAATATCACATCAGAGCTTTAGTCCTTTCCTTCTGTGTGGGGCACTGGGTTTGTTTACATTCCTCCCAGTGTACAGTACATAATATGCGTATATCTGAGTTGGGCGTTACTGTATATATAGTTCCTTGAGTTTGATATAATGAAGGAAATGTAGGGTTTCATACAATGAATGATATTCGCTAAGGTTTTTTTTCAATTTTAACAAATATAATTATCATTTGACTATTTTCTTGTTATCGCTGTACAAAAATTAATGTTTTTAACCGTATTTTCGAATCCAGGATGAAATACCAAAATTTATGGGAATGCCTCTCTACGCTTTAAGAGACTATAAGGTGATTAGAGATTTATCAAATTCCATAAAATTGATAAATTTTGAGATTTGTTATTGTCAGTATAAACTGGAGATTTATGGCTATGATTACTAGAGAAATATTATTATTATATGATATTAATTATTGTTATTAATGAAGATTTAGTATTAGTATTATTGGAGATTTTTTATTATTATTATTATTGGAGATTTAAAATTACTACTATTGGATATTTATTATTATTATTATTATTGGAGATTTAGTATTATTATTGGAGTCTTTTAACCCTGTCAAGTTTGTGATTTTAGTTTCTCTTAAACTCTTTTCCTCAAACTGCTATATGTACTCTCTACAGCTATCATTTATTCTCAAATGTTTAGAGATTGTGTTCGTCCCTGTCCATTGTAGGTGCTTATTCAACAGCCAACCTTATGCTAAACTCTACACTGTACAATTTGCTTTTAAATGATATTTTGTTCTATTTTCAGTTCTCTTTCTTTTATCTCTTCTGTGATATCTCGTGGTAAGTAAATTATAATTAATATGACAATAGAACTAAAAATAGGATTATAGGACTAGGACTAGGACTAGGACTAGAACTAGGGCTAGGACTAGGAATAGGTTTAGGAACAGGACAAGGACTAGGACTAGGACTAAGACTAGGACTAGGACTAGGACTAGGACTAGGATTAGGACTAGGACTAGGACTAGGTTTAGGACCAGGACAAGGACTAGGACTAGGACTAGGACTACGACTAGGACTAGGACTAGGTTTAGGACCAGGACAAGGACTAGGACTAGGACTAGGACTAGGACTAAGAATAGGACTAGGAATAGGAATAGGACTAGAAATTGGAATAGGTCAAGAAATATGAATAGGTCTAAGACTATGACAACTGGGACTTCAAATGTTATTGTCCAATTTTCCTGGAATTTCTGTGTTAAAGTTTAATTTAAAAGTATCTTTACTTTTTCTCCTTTTTACAAATGTTCAATACTCTTTATCTGAAGTCGCAAATGTTAGAAAACTAAGCTTTTTGTCAACATTCCTAAAGTTTTAGTCTAGTTGTGGCATTTTTATAAATAGGTTCCAGTTTCTATAGGCTGATATTTGTTCGTCTTGACAGCAAGGACTTTATGTTTGGACAATATTGAAAATTTTAAATAATGAAGCGTGTCACCATTTAGGGTTACCAGGTTTCTTTTTTTGCCAGCTCAAGCCTCTTAAATTCATACTTTTCATTTAAGATTCAAATTTTTTGATTTTCCTTGTTACAATTATCTCAAAATGGTATTTTTCAGGGAAACTTTTATAATTTGTTTTTTTTCTACATTTTTTAAAAGGACTGTAAGCAAAATTTCAAGTGACCCTCCATGCAAAGGTGACAATGCCCGATTCACAACGGTAACATTAAAAGGTTTGTCTGATCAAGAATTAATTAGATAACAATGTTTATAATTTTGAAATCTGATTAGTTTCAATTGAGGTTTCTCTGCAGTAAATATGTCTTGCGCACTTCTACTGCAGGAAAATATATAGAAATTATCAGAATAAAGCACTTTTCAAGCTAGATAAAGGATTTAATGATATTGACATATGTGCATGAAGGTTCACTACAAATTAAGCTCACTTACTGTTCTCAAAATTGTTTATAAATCGTTTAGGCTGTGAGAAATAAATAGAAACATATTTTCAATCGTCACATAGTTGTTTCCCTGAAATATGTAAACAGTCCCTTAACAATATTCTAGGTGGGCGCACCACCAGCAACACCTCCCCTGGAGTGAGAGCTCCGCCCCCCTCCAGCCAGGGGCCTCGAACCCCCGGCCACACCTCCGCCGGGAAAATAATCTCTAAAAAATTGTTTCGAACCCGGAGTAAATCTTCTAACAGGTCAGATATTCACATTTGTAATTGTACATTGAGAACTAGAACACTGTGGACTAGGTAGACGATATTATAGCATAGTCTGTATAGCATACTGTTCCAGAGCAAAGGTTTACAAATAACTTATGAAATCGCTATGCGGCTATGCAGTGTTGTGGACCAACTCTTTAGGATTCATTTGAGACATATAAAACTTTTTAAAGATCTGTATATCCTGAGTTTGAGCACAAAGTCGACGTTCAAAATTATTCATTTGGGTGGTTAAATATCTTGAGAATCGATTTTTTAAAAATTATTAAATAACGACGACAAAAATGTAGCAAAAATTTTAAAGTTAACAAATTTGTTATTTAGGAACAGGTTAAGAGAAAATTGACTCTTATTGTCGAAAATAAGTAATCTTATTCCGTTATTTGTGGCTTTAATGTCTCATTGTTCACAAAACAGTTTCTGTAGATTTCCTGGAATTTTTATTGAAAAGACGACATTTGAAGAATATGAAGAAGTCTACGAATAAATTCGTAAAGAATAAGAAATACATTAAAATGATGAAAAATAAAATAATAGATTCTAACATTGATATATTGACAAACATCTATTGAGAAATATGTTCCTAAAAATCTAATTATTAGTTTACTGTCGAATATATTTTACATTTGCTGTCGTCTTTGTTTTTTAATTTAAAAAAAAATCGATTCTCAAAACTTAACCACCCAAATGGATGATTTTGAACGTCGACTTGAATAAACTTGTTTGTTGTAGACTTTGCGCTCAAACTCAGTAATTTTACATCATCAAAACGTTTTATATGTCTTATGAGTTTTAAAAAAATCCTCCACAATACTACATTCTCAGATCAACTACCATACATTGCCGGTCACTCCATTCAAGTTAAAAAGTCGTCTTTCTGTTTCAGAGTTTTACAGTCCTCGCTGGAGGATTACCATTCCCAATTGTATAAAAAGGAACCATGAACACTCGCCCCAAATTTTCTTCCCTTAATCATTGCAACCTGATTGTGATAACCTTTGATATTTCATGCTTTGATTATTTGATCCAGCGGAATTCTTATTTTGAAATATCAAACTCTTAGGTTGCAAAGATGTTTTGATTGTTATCAAATTATGAGTTTGTTTAGGATACGCATTTATAATCATGTGGTTACCGTTATTAACACGGATCAAGTAACTCTCTATATAGATCTACCAACAAAGCCACAAATATGATAGCTAATCAAAATCTAAAGGGTGGGAGATTATTTAGGAAATATATAAAATTCCATAATTTGATCTTTATTTGCAGAGCCAGTAGTATTCCTATACCTTCCCCTTGGATTCCACAGGTAAAGTAACAGGAAAGGACAGGATAGGACAGGATAGGACAGGATAGGACAGGATAGGACAGGATAGAACAGGAAAGGACAGGATAGGACAGGATAGGACAGGTTAGGACAGGACGGGACAGGATAGGACAGGATAGGACAGGATAGGACAGGATAGGACAGGATAGGACAGGATAGGACAAGAAAAGGTCAAATATTTAAATATTTTACCACGTGAGTTTGAACAAGGATCATTAGAGTCAGTATACTAGTTTTTCACTATTCTCTCAGATCTTACATAGAAGTCTGTAGCAAAATTTGTGTAAACTTGATATTCTATGAACTTGCAGTACGTTGCATATTATCAATATCGATTTAATGTTGCAAACTTAGACATAATGACATTATTCATTGAAACTGCATTTGAATTGAATACTTAACATGATTAGCTTAAATCATGTGACATACCTAAATTACGCTAAAACATGTACAGAGTATAGCTTAACTGCATTATATCTATTCTCTCTAATCTTTAAATACGCACCATACACTTTTACTGTGCGATAAATACGTAATGCTATGGCTTTAATCATGTAATATAGTTAACATCATAGGAATTGTAACTACGTCAATTCATGTTAACTTTGTGACATAAGATATTACATAGAGTTAATTGAAACATAGGAGTTGAGATCATACCTTGAGTATTGGTATTAATCTATTAAGTGCTAGTGTCTGTATTGACATCAATAGCTAACAAGATCCCACCCTGTATAGTGGCGTTGATTAGTCACAGGATTGTAGCCGTGTGGATTGTGTCCTAGTTAACACTGATCAATTGATTGCTAGTGTCTGTATTGACATCGAAAACTAACAAGATTGAGCCCTGTGTAGTGGCGTTGATTAGTCATGGGATTGTTATAGTCGTGTGAATCATGTCCTGTTTGAGACATTGATCAATTGATTGTTAGTATCTGTATTGACACTAATAGCTAACAAGATGGCGCCCCGTGTAGTGGCGTTGATGTTCACGGGATTGTAGTTGTGTGGATTGTCTTCCTGTGTGACATTTAGAACATTGGATCGTCCCTGTCATTTGGGATTGTTTTATATAAAGCTTGTTTGATAGCTTTGCTTGTGTCCTTGTGTGGCATTTAAAGCTTGGGATTCAGTCATGGTTGAACACTGTATTAGTGGCAGGATTTTTATAGCTACACTTGTGTCCCTGTGTGGCATTTAGAGACTGTGATTCAGTCATGGTTGAGATTGATAGCGGACGGATTGTACCTGTATAGATACAATTCAACTAAAACTTTTTATTCTAGCAACTTATTTTAAAATAAATATCAATTTTTTTTTCATTTAGATTATCTAGTTACCACATGTAGCACTATTTTCTCTCTGTGTGATAAACTTATTATTTTTTTGCATTGCTAGAAATGTGTATAATTAGCACAGTAATTAAGTTTTTGCAACATCTATGTATAGTATACAAATTCTTGTCCCTCCCCCCCCCCCCGTCCTTCATCTCCACTTGCAAAAACGTTGTTTCTATATTTCAATTTGAAAATGCTAACCCTTGCAAAAGTTTGAATAGTCATATATTTGGTGGTAGATGTTAGGTACTTTCCCAAAGGCCTTTTTCCAAGCAGCAACTATCCAAGGGTATTTATCCAAGCTGCAACTTCACAAGTTTGTTCTAGCCGCAGCTCGCTCGCCCCTGAAGCCTGTTTTAGCATAGTGCACGCCTAGTCCAACCTATCTGCAGCGCTTGGCCCCAGTTGCAGCCTGTCGGATTTAATGAATTTGAGCTATGTCTGGAGTTTAGAGATGATTTAACCACGTGTTTTGACTGCAATATATCCAGGATCTTCACTTTATCTGATCAAGACTACAATATGTCCACGATCTTCACTTTATCTGATCAAGACTACACTATATCCAGGATATTCTCTTTATCTGATAAAGACTACAATATATCCAGGATCTTCTCTTTATCTGATCAAGACTACAATATATCCAGGATCTTCACTTTATCTGATCAAGACTACAATATATCCAGGATCTTCTCTTTATCTGATCAAGACTACAATATATCCAGGATATTCTCTTTATCTGATCAAGACTACAATATATCCAGGATATTCTCTTTATCTGATCAAGACTACAATATATCCACGATCTTCACGTTATCTGATCAAGACTACAATATATCCAGGATCTTCTCTTAATCTGATCAAGACTACAATATATCCACGATCTTCTCTTAATCTGATCAAGACTATAATATATCCAGGATATTCATTTATGGTTGTTTTAAAAAGTGACTCGCGCTTTTAATATTGAATTTAACAATTTCAAGATGGAAAAGCAACGATATCTTCAATATTATTAATCTAATAAAGGTTAAAACTCAGGTACTCTAAACTTTATGAAGATTTTGCCCCTCCTCTGAGGTATTTTAATAATTATGTATTAATGATTTCAAAACTATTTTGAAGGTAATTTATATATTTACATATTGAGCAGTAATTAGTCCGCATAATTGTACGCAGATAGATAGGTAGATAGATAGAAGATAGATAGATAGATATGTAGATAGATAGGTAGATAGATAGAAGATAGATAGATAGATAGATAGATAGATAGATAGATATATAGATAGATAGATAGATAGATAGATAGATAGATAGATAGATAGATAGATAGATAGATCGATCGATCGATCGGTAGATAGATAGATGATAGATAGATAGATAGATAGATAGATGGATAGAAAGATAGATATATAGATATAGAGATATAGATAGCTAGATAGATAGCTAGATAGACAGATTGATTGATTAATAGATAGATAGATAGATAGATAGATATATAGATAGATGGATAGAAAGATAGATATATAGATATAGAGATATAGATAGATAGATAGATAGATAGATAGATAGATAGATAGATAGATAGATAGATAGATAGATAGATAGTGTATCCTTGTATCCTTGTATCCTTGTATCCTTGTATCCTAGTAGCCTAGTATCCTTGTATCCTAGTAGCCTAGTATCCTTGTATCCTAGTATCCTAGTATCCTTGTATCCTAGTATCCTAGTATTCTGATATCCTATGGATTCTAGTATTCTAGTATCCGAGTATCCTAGTATCATATTTGGCATCCTGGTATCCTAATATCCTAGTATCCTGGGATCCTGGTATCCTAGTATCCTAGTATATCCTATAGAATCCTAGTATCCTAGTATCCTGGTATCCTAGTATCGCAGTATCCTAGTATCCTGGTATCCATAGTATCTTAGTATCCTAATATTCTAGTATCCTAGTATCACATGGGAATCTAAAATGTAAACAAACTCCTAAATTTCTGGAATTTATTGATTACATCTATATTTGTTTATTTGTTTATTTTTCAACACATCTTGTACTTTCCAATTTATCCAAATTTTTACTGAAAGTTTTATATTCTTGGAAATTCATTGCTAGTATGAAATGAAATGAAAATTGCAACCGTTTAGAATTTTTCTCCCCCTTTCGATGCTAAAGAATAAAGCTGTTAGTTGTATCTAAACTACATATACAGTTATATTAAGCCATATCTTTGCTGGAGAAAATGGGACGCATAAATGTGCAAAAAGATAAATATGTCAATCACAAGCTTCCAGTGATTCAGCAAAATAAACAATAGACATTTTAGTAGACGTTTGTCAGACAAAAATACTATAGGTTTTTTACCAAAAGTATTTATTTATTTTTACAAGGATTTCCCAAAAACCTACATTTTTTGATACGTTTTTTTAAATTTGAGATTTTGCATTATTAGATTTCAAATATACATATATGTTTGTTTGTCCACACCTTTTTAACTTTCCACCCTCC